TTTGTTTCTCTCTACTTCTTGAACTCTTTTGTCAGTTTATATGTTGAAATAATATTTTTAAATATCTTTCCCCCCAGCTATGATTAGCATTTATTGTCACCTGGAAAAGATCTGGAGTCACCCACCTGCCGGGACTTAATATGATTAAGTTAGTCTCTAGGCATGTTTGTAAGGGACTAATCTTGATCAAGGGATGATTGAGACCTTTAGGACTGATGACTCACTCTGAAGGAGGGTGGCTTCATTCCTTGGACTCGGGTCCTAGATGGAATAAAGAGGAGGAAGCTAGATGACCATAAGCATTCATCTCTATTCTTTCTGACTGGAGATGCAATGCTGCCTCGAGCTCCTGCCGCCATGATCTTCCTTCCTTGGTGTAATGTACCCTCAAAGTGTGACCCAAAATAAATCCTTTCTTCATTGTGTTTGTCTCCTGTAGAGTATTATGTCACAACGATGACGAGCTGAGTTAACTAATATGGCAACCTCATCGCTTTCTTGAGTTAACGTGTATTGAAGCCTCAATTGTACTTGCTACACACACTTGTTCACTCACAGTTTCCAGCTAGGGCTGAAATCTGACTGCTGCACTGAGTCCGTTTTCCAAAGCTTTTTGGTCGTCTTGCTTCGAGCTCCCAAATCCAATGGCCTCATTTTGCTCACTTGTGGCACCTACCATGTGTTCCTCACATCTCAAGACAGCGGTCTGCTTTTATGACATTCCTCCCCTCTATCTCCACTCTCCTGATGGGCAGCTTTTCTTCCTGGGATTGCCCTTCAGGTAAGATTAATAGCTCTTAAATTTTATTTCCATTTTTGATCTAAGCTCTAGACCCTCATTTCTTACCTTCAATTTTGTTTGGCATCTCAAACATTCCTCCAAAAGTCGAATGCATTAAATTCATACCATCCTTTTTTTTTTTTTTTTTGTATACCTTGTCTTATTAATTCTCTCACCAGAACACTTTGAACAGACTTTTAAAAGTATTTTCTGAATTTTCCCAACAAGTACACTGGGTGTTTTCCATTTGTTCTCTCTTTTCCCCACTTTGGTCTACTGAAACAGATTTCTAGTGAGTGTCTCCTCACAGCCTCTTTCAACACACTCATATACTGTCCTTAAATATATTTTTATTTTGCTCAAGCTAGCTCATTAGATGCATGAACATGTCACTCTCATATTTAAAAAAAAAAACATAACAAGCCTGATCTGATAGAAATTTTCAATTACTATCCTGTCTTTGGTGTTCAGACTTAAAGGCTGGTTAAGGAGACCATGTATGACTTTGGCTTCCATGACTTTCTGTTGAGAAGTAACCTCTATTTACTTCAGTTGCAGAAGAACTAGGTGCTACCTGTGAGCCTCTTTCTGTTCTTTCCAGATTCAGTCTCTTGCTTAAACACAAATCTATGCCTTTCAGGGCTATAGGCTAGCCACATTGGCCTGTGGTAACCCTTTTTTACACCTCCCAACCATGACTAAGAGACAGAAGGCACTCTTCTGTCAGCTTTATTAAACACTCCACATTTATTTATGAAGAAAACAACTTTCATTTGGCATTAAAATTAATGTTGCTTTTGAAAATACCTGCTGAAGCACCCTGTTTCTTGTCTTTCTGTCTAGACTAGCAGTTCTCAACCTATTGGTTGCAACCCCTTTGAAGGTAGAAAGACCCTTTCACAGGGGTCACATATCAAATATATTACATATCAGATATTTACATTATGATTTATAACAGTACCAAAGTTACAGTTATGAAATAGCAATAAAATAGTTTTCAGGTTGGAGGTCATCCCAACATGAGGAAATGTATTAAAGGGTTACAGCATTAAGAAGGTTGAGAGCTACTGCTCTATGCAAAGATTATGATTACCATAATCAAAATAATTCACCTAACTGAAGAGGACCCTAGACTTTCAAGATGACCTTCAAAGATTCCTAACTGTTAGTGTGCATTGCACATGTTCAAACAAAACCGTCGAGATAATCAAGCTACTTCTAGTTAATGTTGACAAGACTGAAAGGTGTTTCCTGGCTACCAGGGCCAGCTTTCTTCAAGTCTTGACAGAGAGTTCTTCCCTCCTACTGTTGCTGCCAGTAGCTGAGCATCTTCTGCAAGCCCTGGTACAGAGCCTCTTCTTCCCCTCTGTCTTTCCACAGTGATTAGTGCTCAGTAGATGCCTGAAAACCTGACCCTGCGTTGATAGATGAGCTGTCCACAAAGCACAAATACCCACAGCATTACCCGACTTCATCCAACCTGCCTCACTCAAGACGAGGAAAGGCTTTAAGATTCTCCTCCTTCCCGCCCCCCACCCCCGCCATGTTAGGGTGTACAGGAGAACAGGGGAAAAGCCAAGGACCAAATGTTTACCTTAAAATTGTGAACTTGTCATCAGTTATCGAAAGGTAACCACTGTCATTGTTTGGCCACTTTCTTTCTGGAGATGTCAGAGCTCCGTGACATCACCCTAGTTTTGTCCTTCCGAACATGCTCTTCCTCTGTGAAAACTGACATGGAGCTTTGAAGCTATTTCAGCGATAGGTGTGTCAAAAGTCACACACAATTTGAGTGGATTGCATTATTATCTATTGGCTTACTACTCTGAACATATTTTTCAGGCCAGGTCCTCATAGACATGGAATTGGAGTCAGTGAACTCTCTCATTAAGTAATTAGTTAATTCGATTCTTGCTTCAGTTTTCCTCTCATCACTTAGCTGTTAACATTTCTTTAAAAGAGCCAAACATAGTACACCAGTGATCACTCCCTTGAGTTATCGTTCCATGTTGTACAGGCTATAACACAAAGTCACAACATCACAATGTAATTTAGAAGAAAAGCTATAAATTTAAGCCAATATAAACTTGTCCCAGGACTCCCTCTCAATCTCACAGCAGGGCGTGGGGCTGCACAGCTGGAGCTGAGCTAATCAGTGGTTTTGAAAAATGCTGCCGCCTTCCCCCAGCATCACAGAAACTGGCAGATGGGATCCTTTTATCCTTACTCCGTTCTTACAAACAAACAGTGAGATGTAATGCTGTGAGAAGGAGACTCCACGGTAGGAGAACCTTGAGGCACACAGAGTTATGGTTTGGGACATTTCATTTTGTAAACTAGTACACCGTAAACAGAAGTGTCTGGCCTTTATAAAATCGAATCACTTTTTGGTTGCTTTTGAACTCATCGGGGTCGTTTCTAGGAAAGTTGCTGGAAGTACTGCACAACGGTCTGTTTATCCAGTGGGGAAACGCATCTGTACCTTCCAGAAGGTGACTGAGCTTTCTCAAATTATCCAAATATCGGCACCCAAGTGCAGGACTTGAGACTTCCAAGGAGCATCAGGTTCAGCTTCTCCACATTTGAAGAAGGGTGCTAAAGATGCCCCTTAAGTGACAGGAAGTAGTGCAGTCAGGACCCACTGTTTGCCTTGGCCCATGGTTTCCCAGCTGATGGTTACACTCTCTCCTTACACACTCAGTCACTTACCAATCAACCGGTCAACATCCAGTCATCCCACATCAATGACAAGTTTACAATCTCTAAGCCACATGTGCTTAAATCCAAGAGAACCATCACAGTATCACACCAAGATCTGGCCAATGTATCAGAGGGAATTGTGCTATTCTTGGGCTTGAGATAAAATGAGATGAAGCCAGAATAAGGAAAAGAGGCAGAGAGAGGTAACAGAATGTATTACTGAGCACATGGATTCGCTGTAGAAAAATGCTGAGCTTCAGTGGGAAGAGAGGATGTGGCTAGCCCTGTTCTCTTAGACCCCATTGTCTGAGAATTTCTACTTTCTACTTTCATAGGACTGTGGTGTCTATTGTATTGGAGCCTTCTCTGATTTTATATGACTATAAACATATTGTTTCCCCCGAACCTCTAAAACCTGCCCTGTGCCCCCATTAGTGTTTGTCATTCACACCAGGCTGTTGTTCTTACCACTTTTCTCCCTGTTGAGTATAAACTCTGTAAGGACAAGAGTCTTCCTGTCCCTCACCAACAGCTGTGCACTGGAAGAGTGGATATTCTATTTTAATTGGTTGAGTAAAGTTCTCAACAGATTCAAGTAATGTATTTTCTAAATACTCACTGTACCACAACAATACTTATTACAGAGATGTGCAGTGAAAAATTGGAAAGGTGCAGTTATGAGCAGCATTTGGGAGGAATACTTAGGAGAACACTCCAAATCATGTGCAGATTCCTGTTCTATTCTGGACAGAAACAAAGGCATTCTAGTTTAGCTTGAAGATGACAAATTAGATCAAGAAGTCTCTGCAAAGTGACCCTTTTTAAATCCTCAAAGGTATTTGAGTATGCAATCCAAGATGACAATGTCATGAACTGTGCAGTACCGTCATTTTTTTATTATTATTATAGCTCTCTAATTTAGTAGCATGTATTGCTGGACCAGTTTCTCTACAAATATTGATGCACATGGCAGATGTCTCTCAGAAACAAATCTATTCTCATGACTAACATATTTTTAATGTTGCATAAAGTACCCTAGAAATCTTAAAAATAAGAAATTGTTGTCTGTAATAGGTTCCAACTATTAAACAGATAATATAAATCGTACCTTTTCCTCATCTTTCAGTTTTTTCTCTTTTCCTGTTTATAGCAATTTTATCCATCATTTCTTATTTCATGCATTTATACAATGTATTCTAGTCATATTCATCCACCATTCCTCTCCTCCAGCTCCTCTAGCGCCACTAACTTCAGATCCTCACACCTTCACAGCCTTCTTGAGTGCAATTAGTGCTGCCCATATGCACATGGGTGTGTGGGGCCATCCCCAGGGCCGTCTCCTCATGGCCAGGTCCCCAAAGGATAGTGACTCTCCCTTAGGTTTCTCTACACTATAAAGAAAAATTTAAAAAACAAAGTCCTTTTAGAGTACATATTTGTCAATTGTCGCTTACCATAGAAGCAACTCATCCTACTAACAGCTTAACAAACGACTTAAGTTTAACTAATCTTCAGGAAATGATGTGTCAGTTAGGCAATGGAAATAGACGACGATTAACAGACAAGAAGAAAGCCACCTTACCAGGCCTCCACATCATCTCTAGAACACTAGTACTGAATCCCAACTTCCTGCTGGAAAGAATGGTTAGTGAGTTAATATTTTTGATACTTGGGCTCTCCACATTTAGAAGATTTGGCGGTTTTATATTTCTGGTTATGTCATCTAAGTGCAGATTTTGAAGTGCTGTAATCATGGTTTTTATCTACTTGAAATCAGGTGACATTCACAGCCATTCAATTTGACTGAACTTAAGAGGTCTTTTGTGGTTCAACTGCAAGACCAGGAAAAGAAAGCAATGTGAGGAGAGCCATAGCCTCCAACAATGGCATGGGGTAAGACAGGTAAGACACCATAGGGAATGAGGGGACATTGTGAGTAAGGTATTTAGTCAAGCAGAGGTCAAAAAGGACAGTAATGAAAACCAACAGTGGCCTCTGAGACAAAGGCCAGAGGCACAGAATACAGTCCTGTCTTCAGATTTTTAAAAAATGCTATGATCAGCATAATCTTTGAACATAAAGAACAACCTATTTATCCTCAATAGAAACCACTATTTAAAAGAAGACAAACCATTTTTTTTTCTGATTTAAAAAATCAATATGTACTTCAATATGTACTAAATGTACAAAACAAGAGTTTTCATCAGGTTGTTCCCATCCATGTATAAAATACACTCTGATCATATTCCCTCTCATGACCCCCTCTTAGCTTCCTTGCCCGTGTCCCCAGTTCCCGCTTCTTCCCTAACAGCCTCCTTCAGTGTCCATGTCTTTTTTTTCTGTGCTTCATATTAAAGGAAAACACATGACACTTACCTCTCTGAATTTGCTCTATTTCACTTGACATGAAGAACTCCAGCTCTATCTATTTTCCCACAAACCACATGGTTTAATTTCTCTTTGTGGCTCAATAGCCCATTGTGTATATATGCCAAAGTTTCCCTATGTTTATTCATGGGTACCTATGCTGATGCCACAGTTTGGTTGCTGTGACAAACACGGGAATACAAGTGTTTATTTATGTACAAACTTTGATTCCTGTAGGCATATATACTCAACAGTTGTACAGTTTGATGACAGAGTGGTCCTTTATTTTTTCATGTTACATTTGCTTATTGTGTGTGTATGACTGTGTGTGTACCTGTGCACGCATGTGCATGTGTAGCATATATGCCATGATTTGGATTTGGAGGTCAGAGAACAACTGGCAGGTATCAGTTCTCGCCTGCCACCATTAAGGTCTTGGGATTGAACTCAGGCCACCAGTATCGGTGGCAAGACGCTTCACTCACTGAGCCACTTGGCTGGCTCTGGCAGTTCTGTTTCTAGTCTTTGAAGTGCTTCCATATTGATTTCCATAATATTTGTGTCATGGATCTCCTGCCTCCTGTTTATTGGGACAGAAAACAGCTAGTCCTTTTCTATGATTGCATTTCTTCCTTCTCTCCCTCACAGTCATCTTTGAAATGCCACCAATCTACACGAATGATCATAGAAACAGAATGAAAACATACCATCATTAGCAAATTCTGTATTAAAGAAATCCACAGAGAAACATCTGCTTTATGCCATCGGAGATGCCAGAGAGATCTGCAGAGCACAATTGAGAGATGGTGACTGTTTATTGAGACAGAGAATACCTGGGCTTTCTCTACCACTCTCGATGGTTTTCTTTTTCTATATTCAGAGACAAACAAGTCTCCCAAATGACATTCTGGGAGACATAAATGTGCTATCTCACAAAGCACCAACTGTGTTTGTAGCTGGGGCCAACCTGAAATCCCTGCACTGGGATTTCATTGCTGAACATTTCTGTGTCCTCTGGAGGTTTGTTTGAGGACAAAGAATATATTTATTGACCTTTTACCTTTTCAGTGACTTAATGAATAACTAAGGCAATGATGAGACTCTAAGTCTGAGAGTGTTGGAAGAGACATGGGATTTACCCTTTGCTCGCCTGTTGGTGTATCTGCTCTGAAAAGCAGCAAATTGCAAGTAGTTATTGCCTCATGTGACCTCCAGATGTTAGCCATACAATCAGCAGAACCAGCCTCCGACAAGCACAGCAAAATGAGTGTTAGCATATATGATTATTTCAATAGCCATGGAAAGTTCATTCTGCTGATCAACTCCACCTGTGTGATGTAAAACACCTGTGTGGATAAGATACGTTCCTACGGGAAAAAAATGAGCTTTAAATCTATGACTGTGCATTAACTTTCTCATTTATAAAAAGGAAAAATAAATTAATGAAAACTAATCAAAATTTATCCCTTAATGCTTTATATATTTTGTATTTCAAAATCTGTGCCTATAATCTAGGCAGGAAGTTAAATTCTTATACTCTATGCTAATTGATGGACAGTCTTTTGTGTGTTTTTTACATGACATAATAAAAACACACTGAAATTACTTTCAGCTAAAATTAAACATGGATGCAGTTCATATTTGCTGTTAAGAAAACTAGTTATGTAGGTTGGTGTTCTTGCGGGACTCCTAACAGTGGGAGTGGGGGTGTCTCTCACTCTTGCCTGCACTTGGGACCCTTTTCCTCCTACAGGGCTGCCACCTCCAGCTGTGGTATGAGGGTTTGTGTCCCGTCTTATTGCATCTTGTTATGTCATGCTGGGGGGCTATCCCTGAGAAGACTATTCTTTTTTTGTTTGTTTGTTTTCAAAGGAGAGGAGGAATAGATCTGGGAGGAGACAGAAGATGGGGGAAGTGCCTGAAAGGAGTGGCGGGAGGGGAAATTTTGGTTGGGATGAAATGTATGACAGAAGAACAAAAGTTAAAAAGAAAACCAAATTATGCATGTTCATGAAAATGAAGGTTTTTGTTTTTTTTTTTTTTTAATGACCATCTTGACATTGTATTATTAAGAGCAGGAAGTATTGAGGTAGTCTGGGGATGGCATTTCTTGCTAGGAAGACACGAGACAATGTTTTTATTAACATCAACTCTGTCTTTTTAGGAAAGCATTAAACACTCACATGTATTTGGACTTCAGTCCTAGTAAGGATACACAAGTTGTTAGAGCAAAGAAATGATCAGGGTGAGGCTGGGATATGAAGTGAGATCTTGAAACACTGCCTCCCCTCCCCCGCAAAAGAGGACAGAGGGGAAAGGGAGAAGGAAAGGAGGGGTAGGAGATAAAAGAGGAGACAGGATGGGAAAGGGGAGAAGGTGGGGAGGGAAGGGAAGGGAAGGGGAAGAGAGGCGAGGGGAGAGGAGGGAAGGGAGAGAAAAGAGGAGAGGATCTTGATAGTTTTTCAAAGTCATCACTGATACAAATTGAAACAATTAAGTAACAATTGTTTCCAAAGGGGGGAATGTTCAGATTTTCTTTGTAAATTAAATTATTGAGGGGTGCGTTTCTTATTTCTTTTACTTTTTGTTTTGAAGCAGCTGTAAGGATCAGAGGTTTTAACAGCCATTTGTGTATTAAACATTCCATAATGTTTTCATGTAGCTGCCCTGGCCATGTTAGTAAACAAACAGAAGTGGACCAATGGAGGTCCAGAAGGTGGACCATAAAGAAAATGTGCAAGGCTGGGTGTGGTGGCCCACGCCCTTAATCCCAGCACTGGGGAGGCAGAGGCAGGCTGATCCCTGTGGGTTCAAGGCCAACCTGGTCTACAGAGCAAGTTTTATCCCAGCTATGACAGCATGTTAAGATCTTGCCTCAAAAAGGAGTGGGGACAGCTAGCTGTCAGGGAGAGATGGGGCGAGGGCAGGAAATAGAGCACCATGTCTGGCTCACTGTTGGGGTCCAGCACAGCAAGAAGGGCTGGAGACAGGGCTGCAAACACAGCAAGGCAGGTCAGCAGCACCCTGTTCCTGAGGAGTGCTTGGAAAGCTGGCATCAAGGCCTGTCAGCGGAGGCATTGCAAAGGTGTATTTTAAAACTGTAATTCTACACAGATTTTTATATAAATTAGACACCAGCAATAGAAAGATGAAAATGTCCTGTTTGTGTGTAGGAAAGTCACTGAAATACATGAATAAAATTCACGTTATACCATAACTAGTTAATCTTGTAAATTTAGACTTTGGAGATATAATTATGTTTTCTTAAAGGGATACTTTCCCATAAAAATTACTTTATAGCCTCTTGATTCTATGCTTGGACTTGTGAGACTCTCATGTGTTTTATGAATTTTATTTCTGATACCTGAGAGAAGGAGTCACATGGTATAAACTGTCTTCCAGTGAATTTATAAATATGTCAACATTAGAGCATGTGACAAGACTTACCTCCTTTTAAAGGCTGAATAACATCTTACTGTTATTTTTGTTTATCTGGAGACTTTTAGTTTCTTTTCACCCTTTGATTATTATGTATATAAATATGAATGTATAATACCTCTCAAAGACCCTCTTTTTAGACATTTAGCCTTATGTTTATTGGTTCATTGTCAGTCTACACAAGGAAAACATGCTCTGTTTTAAAAATAGATTTTATTACATAATGAACTAATTTGTATGTGTGGGTATGGGTGCATGCATGCCAGGGGCCACATGAAGAGTTCAAAGGACAACTTGTGGCAGTCCATTCTTCTCCCCCCAACACACACACTATGTGGGTTCCAGGGATCAAACATGAGTCAGCAGGCTTGACAGCAAGCCTCTTTACACACTTAGCCATCTCATTGGTCCAAGACTATCTATTTGCTTTTAAAGACTGACATTATACCATCTCAAAAGGAAGCAAATTCAATATTGATTTGCTTTCACAATGAGAATTAATAATAACTTCCAAAGCTTCCTTATTGTCTGAAGATACAATTATGGTACCAGGAAATGCACTGTCATATCCTCACATAGACTATTGTTCTGTTCAGAGGTCGATGGTGTACACACACACACACACACACACACACACACACACACACACACACACCTGAAAACAGTCCATGCTGGAATAAAATAAATGGCAAAGATTGCCTTCAAATCAGCCATCCATTCTATTAAACTTTTGGATATGGCCATGGAAATAGTGGAGAGGGCTGAACATGTGAGTTTTTCACAGGCCTAAAATCAGAGTCAGTGAGGTCATCAAGCCTCATTCCCTTATTATACAGCTGGAGACTGTGTCCAGTAAGACACAGGGCACACGGTGGCAAAACCGCTGTCATCCCTGCCAGGGACTAGAAATCCTTAATGCTGTTACAGCATTTCAACATTCATGTACTTACACAACTGTAATAAACACATGGGGCAGAATGTGAAAGTCTGAACTCTGCTGACAGTGAAATTTCTTTCTGTTTTTCTTATATCTGATTTCTGGGATGCTGTGGCTTCCCCTCACCTCAGAGATTTAAAGGACTGGCCTCTTTCCATCAGGGGAACAGGGCTCATCTAGATGCCACACATCTGCATCTAGAAGGCCAAAACTAAAAAGCTTTGGATTTGATGTCCACCAAGAGCTATTATTAGAATGAAATAATACTAGAACACATAGGCTAGTACAATGGATTGAAGGGTTTCTGAAACTCTTAGGTAGACTTTGAGAAAGCAGAATAAGAATATTTCCAGAGGTCAATATTTCCAGGAGTAACTTGGGAAGCTAAGAAACAGTCATAAGAACTGCTCAAATGGGAGAATCTCTTTCCTAAGGAAGAGAAGAGGCAAAAGATACAGTGAAGATTAAGATTTGGGTGCCAAGCCAGGTGGTGATGGCGCACACCTTTGATCCCAGCTCTCGGGAGGCAGAGACAGGCGGATCTCTGTGAGTTTGAGGCCAGCCTGGTCTGCAGAGCTAGTTCCAGGACAGGCACCAAAACTACTACACAGAGAAATCCTGTTTCAAAAAAAAAAAAAAAAAGACTTGGGTGCCCAGGTTATATACCGACTGTGTCAAGGTTACTAACTACGGACCTTCAACTATTGTCCCCAAGAGTCTGAGCATCACTTCAGCATTAATCACTCCAACTATTAATAATCCAACAGAGGAAAAACCCATCAACACTCCAAGGCTTTGCTTGGGCAACTCCTCTGTCATAATCCCCATTACCAATGCTTCCCAGCCCAGCTTACAATGCCCAAAGAGAAAGGGACCTTGTACATCCAGAGAGTGCCATGGGGGTGAGGAAAGGCATGCCCCATGGCTGAATCTAGAAGGCCAAAACTAAAAAGCTGAAAGCCTCTAGAATGAAGGCAACAGTTACATTAAAATTGTCTTCACACGAAATCCTGTCAGTTGTCCTTTGTCTCATTTATGAGCCTGGAACTGTCTTCTCTGTTGGTTGGATTTTTAATTAATTATTAATTTTACTTCTTACTATCACTGTGTGCATGTATGTGAATAGCATGTGGGTGTGCATGCCACAGTGCACACATGGAGGTCAAATGACAGCTTTGTGGAATGAGTTCTCTCTTCCCACTTGTAAGTGAGTTCCAAGAATTCAAGTCAGGTTGCCAGGCTTGCACAGTAAGTGCCTTAACCAGCTCAGCCATCTTGCTGGCTTGGTTATTTTTTTTTTTAATCTACTACTGCACTTTGCAAAAAATACAAACATACATAATTAATACACATTTCATAGCCTCAGACTTAGGTGACTTAATACATTTTATAAATTGGCAAAAGTAAATCCCTTTATCCATTTATGAAGAAACTAGGAAAAACTTAAAGGTCCTGAGTCTTTATCAAACAGTAAGACATTTTTGAAATGAGACTACAATTTTAATGTAACTATTGCCTTCATGATTAAGAACATGGGCCCTGGTGTGACACACGTGTGAGCCTAGGTTCTACCAGTGACTGCTGACTGCTGGATTATACTGAGACAAATTGCTGGGCAGCGGTGGTGCATGCCTTTAATCCCAGCACTTGGGAGGCAGAGGCAGGTGGATCTCTGTGAGTTTGAGGCCAGTCTGGTCTACAGAGTGAGTTCTAGGATAGGCTCCAAAGCTATACAGAGAAACCCTGTCTTGAAACAAACAAACAAACAAGAGAGACAAGTTCCTTATCCAGTGAGCTAAGTTGCCAAGCATAGGTAGCCACAGTTCAGTCATGGGTATTTATTTATGTCAGGGTTCAGCACCTTGTAAGTACTACATAGACAGGCTGCTTATTAACAAGAATAAAGGTTATATTAA